GCAGTACTGAAGGATGCCTGTATTCACTCTGGTGCAGTACTGAAGGACGCCTGTATCCATTCCAGTACAGTACTGAAGGATGCCTGTATTCACTCCGGTGCAGTATTGAATGTTGCCTGTATTCACTCTGCTGCGGTACTGAAGGATGCCTGTATTCGCTCTGGTGCAGCACTGAACGGTGCCTGTGTCCTCTCCAGTGCAATACTAAACATTGCCTGTATCCATCCCAGTGCAGTATTCAAGGACTGTCTGTATCTTCTCCAGTGCAGAATTGAAGGATACCCAGCATCTAGTCCAATGCAATATTGAAGGAGAGCCTGTATCCACTCCAGTGCAGTACTGAAGGAGAGTCCATATCCTCCGCAGTGCTGTACCGAAGTAATACCTGCATTATTAGAGGCAGCGTCTCCCAAATGGGGTGTTTTTCTGAAGCTCCGTGTCCTGTTCAGGTGGGTGGAAATATCCCATGGCACTACTTGAAGGCTCAGGAGTTTTCTTGGTGTTGTGGCCAATGTTTATCATGCAACCAAACAGCAGATTTTCAGGCCATTTTATCATGCAGCTGATTGTTGAGCCTTTACATAGGTTGGCTGTAACTTTTCTACAAAACAAGCAGTCATTGCACTTCAAAAGCAATTCATTGGCTGTAAAATGCTTTTGGCCGATCCAATGATGTGAGAAGCTTGACGTGAATGAAAGCCCCTTCTTATACAGTAGCTTCTAATGTCAAAACATCTCAAAGCCTTTCAGACAGAATAAATTACTCTTGGACTGCAGTGAGTTATGTAGTTTAGGCCAATTCAGAATCCATTCTATGCCAGTAATGTTCCAACCTGGATGAGCTGAATGACTAATTTAGCAAAAGGGAAAAAAGAAATATTTCTTTTAAACAGCATCATTCATGACCTCAGCCTGTTCCAAAGAGGTTTACTGTCAGTGAAGTACTTTTGAAGTGTAATCTCTGTTATGATGTAGGAAACATGGCAGACAATTTGTACATAGCAAGCTCCCACAATCCAATGACTTCTACCCATCTACAGAACGGGGCAGCAAATGGATCAAAACATCATGGCAAATTGTCTGCCATGTTTCCTACATTACAATGGTGACTACATTTCAAAAGTACTTCAGTGATGGCAAACCACTGGGAGTTCTACTCCAAGTCAGACACCATCCTAACTTGGAAATACATTCGGTTGTTTCTTCACCATCTCTGGGTCCAATAGAACTTCCCACCCAACAGCATTGTGGATGTGACTACACCACACACAGACCGCAACCGTTCAAGAAGGTGGTTCACCACCATCTTTTCAAGGGTAATTAGGAATTGGCCATAAATACTGACCTTGCCAGTGATGCCCACATCCTATGAATGAATAAGTTTTTTTTTAAAAAAAACCTGCCGTGCAGTAATGTGATGTTGGTTAAGGAATAAATATTGACCAGGACGTGAGGGCAAACTCCCCTGCCCTTTTTCAAAATAGCGCCATGGAATGTTTAAGAACATCCACCTGAGAAGGCAAATATTACAGCCTCAGTTTAATGCCTCATCTGAAAAAAACACAGCACTTTCAATACTGCAGCACTGAAGTATTAAGCCTAGACTTTGTGTCCAGATCTGTAGAGTGGAAAGTGTGCATCCAACATGTGACTCAGTGAGGAGAACCAACTGAGCCAGAGATGATCTGTTCCAGACAGACAACAGAACCCTGTCATATCATCACAGTTGAAACAGTCTCCTGAGGCAATCGCCCTCTGTTAAAGCATGATCACCGTACTCAATAAATATTGATTGGGGTATGGTAACAAGATCTGAGGTGCAAAGGTAAAATCACCACCATTTTACCAGACCATAGGCTTCTCTCCCATTAGAGAGGGATGGCTGATTGTGGTTTAACCTGGGAGTCACCACGCTTCAGGTAAGGTGGGAAGTTGAGAAAGCAAGTGCTTCATGATTAACAACCAGGGCAGAAATTAAACCCACACTGTTGATCTCTCCCTGCATCACAAACCAGCTACCCAGCTAAACAACCCCCTCTGAGGTGTAACTGAATCAGTTGAATGTAAAGTAGAAGCAGATTTGCCCTCATGGCTGTCAAGTTGAGAGGACAATGGAAACATATCGAGTGAGATAAGCAGGTAGAAATCAATCAAAAGGTTGCATAAACATGAGGTATTGAAAGATCTGCTGAGTATTTCCAGCATTTTTACGCTTTATTTCAGATTGCCACATTTGCAGTATTTTGTACTTAGTTTAGGTATGAGAGCTGTTACATGCCCTGTCCAATACTCACGAATTCAATATTGGACAAGGTGTAGGCTATGTGATATTACTAAAGTTAGATTACTGCCCAACCTTCTCAAAAATGGAGGTCATTAGCTTGGACAAGGATTCCAACCTTTGGCTCATGTTAACTTTGGAAGTTGGGAGACTCATTCAGAATGTCTTCAGGAGGATAAGTGCATTGAGTATGTTCTCAGCAGTATGGGTTGCATATGGAAGGAATAGACGTGATGGCACTGTCATCAGACAGTCATTCCCTGTCACCCATCGGAAAATCGCAATATCTGCTTTGGCACAAACGCGGAAGATGTTGGAGAATCTCAGCAGATCTGGCAACATCTGCGAAGGGAAAAAGAGAGTTAATGTCTAGTATGACTCTTTCGTAGAATGGACATATTTTATCATATTATTTAAAATACATATCTGCTGATATATTTCCATGTACAGCTAAGTCTCAGAAAATAGACAGAGATTGTTTACTCTGGAAAAAGAAAGGGTGAGAGGTGACATAATTGAAATCTTTCAAATGATGTAAGGATTTGAGAGGGTAGATGTAGAAGGAGATGTTTATTTTCCTTCTGGGAGTCTAACACTAGAGGTGATTAAGAGAAAATAACCACCAAGAATTCAGGAGAACTTCTTTACCAACAGAGAATATGGAACTTGTTATCACAAGGCGTAGTTTAGGTTAGTAGCATAGATACATTACACATGAAAGAAAAAGGAACAGAAAGATATTCCAAAAGAGTTAAATGACATAAGGCTCATGTGGAGCATAAACATCAGGATGGACCAGTTGGTTTTGAATGGGCTAGTGTTGTGATGTAAACACAGCATAATAACCAATGTCTTGTACATAAATCTGTAAACACAAACTGAAATGGACAGGGTGATGTCCTGCCATTGACTACAGAACTGGGTGTGAAACTTAACTTGTGATCTAAGATGAAGATCACCTGTAAAGAATTGTAAATGAGGATATGGTATTTGCTTAATGTCTGTCTGTAGATCCACAGAAACAAGGCTTGATGTCTAATACTAAGACTTGCGGTATTTGAACTAAAGGCAATTTAAGGATTTATTAAGTAGGGCAATCATCTTCAATTAAGTATATTTTTGTTGGAAAGGAAAATGGCAAATACGTCAGCACCTTATTGAACAAATAAAGCATGTTGCACCATAGTCATATGGACATGAAAGCCAAATAAATAAATCAAACCAATGAATTAGACGTTCACACAGTCTGCGTCTACTAGTTAGACACTTCAGACTTTGTAACCCATGAAATGGAGATGCTTCAAGCCATTTCTTCTCCTTACTTTCCATCCCTGTAATCCCTGTGGGAAGT